TTGGCTGAGTAGTTCTGTTGGCATCACTGGATCTCGCTAGCTAAGTTTTTTATTTAAGAAGTAAGAATTGAAGAATCAACTTTATGAGAAATTTCCAGGTAAGAGTGTAGTAATGGCATCAGCTTTGTAATTGCAAGAAAATAGAGCAGAAGACACACTGGGCTCTCTTGTGCTTGCTGCTGAATTTTTGCAGGAGGCTCTTAGTTGCTATATAGTTATTCTTTTTGTCTTGGTGTGATTTTTTTTTTAATTAATGTTGGTTTTGTCTGATTATGACATTCTAGTCAGATATAGTTTATTTTTGTATCAGAAGATAAGGACAGAACTGTATCAACTATGCAATTTATGAAGCCTTAATCCTTCCAAGGAGATAAAAGTTGCAGGTGTTACAAATGTCCTCAGGTTAGGTACAGATTCCTAAATGGATTTGTTTATCACATATCAATCAGATATTTGTATCAGACAAAAAAATCTCAGCAATTTCCGATGCTTTGAGTACTCAAAGTTTATTAACATCCAGATGCAATCAGAAAACTGGTTCTGGTAATATTGCCTAAGAACCCAGGCTGACGGCATCTCTAAAAGCTTAAGGCTTTCAAGCATTGTCTTGTCATCTTACCATGCCCTGTGCAGAACAAGGAGGTGCAGAGGTGTGGAGAGGCAGCTGTGCCAGCCCCAGGGCTGTGCAGGGGCTGTGTGGACCTGCCAGACGCAGAGGAGCCCTGCCCTGCCCTGTTGCAGCACTGGTTACGTGTGTCCACCTGTGCCATGGGTCTGAGTTGCTCTAGATTATTCCCTGACCAATATCAAACCATTTTGTGTCTCCTTCAAGTTGTGCAAGGCCAGTTGAGGGGATCTTTCAATGATGGTGTGTGGTTTTATTTCCAGGTGCAGTGTCATATCCCATGTATGTATTGCTAAAGATGCAAACACAGATATGGGGTTCTTCCATGTAAGGATTTAGAAAATTTAGTCTACAGCTGGTGCTGGTGAAATGTGGATGACTCAAAAGACATCCTGGGAGTGACTGACCAGCTGATGGCTGGTACTTGCTCTGGCTTTGTTTTTATGGTGTTTCCCTATCTGCTCATGAAGTCATCTGCATATCTAAGGCAGACATTGCCTCCAAGACCCATGTGTCCACATACATCAAATATAAATAGAAGTCATCAATGGTACATAGAATTTATGAGATGGATTTTTGTTGTCAGGGAAATGATTGTGAGAATAAAAAAGAGTTTTTTTACTGTGTACTCCGTTACCTGCATGCTCTGCTGCCAATTATCAGAAACTTGTTTTGCTGTTGATTTTAACAGAGGAATAGACTTGGGTTCCCAGTTTTTTCAGCTCGTTTGACATTGGTGTTTGTCCACTCAAAACAAGCATAAAGCTGTTTCATGTCTTTGTTTAGACCCTTATTGTTTCATGTAGTACGTAAATGTGAATCTGTCATGAACTGAAATTATCACAGTCTTGCAATTAGATTGCAAGACCATTTCACAACTCTGCTGTAAGTAACTGTACTCTGGGATGAGCAGGATTCCTACGAAATCCTTCTGGCTTAGAACATGACAGTTTTCTGGGATGAGCTTTCATGCTTTCTTGCAACATTTATTTTTATTTTATTGGTAGGTAATCCAGCACAGTATTATAAATGAGGACACTGTGAATCCAGTATTGTTATTTTAAATGATGTCATTGTGACCACTACAATGGCACTACATTTCTGACAGGGCCAAAAGTCTAATGGAAGGTTAGAATGTTTTGTACCCATTTCTTGAGTGCATCAGCAGAGTTCAGTCTTTTGACCTGTCCTATGTAACAAAGGAATTTTTATCAGAAAAGTGATTTTCTTCAAACACTGAGAGGCTACTTAGACAGGGCCCTACCCCACTCCGTTCTCTCTGTTGTTAAAACTTGGCTAATTAACCGTGCATATTTTGCTTCACTTTTCACCACACTCCTCAGCAGTTTATCTCAGAGCATTTAAAAAGGACTTAAACACTTTTACCCTGATTTCGATGTGAAAATCCAGTGGTGTTAACAGGATGATGACAAAGCAAGGAATAAAACCTAGAACCTGAGGATTCATTGATGCTTTCCTACAGATTCATAATAATTGTAGTCATGTCTTGCAAACTTTACTATCGTTTTTGTAGAATATGGTGTGTGATCTGCTGGTAATCTTAGAAATTCACCATCTTCTTGCCAAAGTATGAAGAGTGATCAGTCCTCAAGCCACTAAAGAGAAGTGCAGATTCAGTCTTGGTAGGATTGGTGTCCCCTGCAGTTGAATACATGCAGTTCTTGTACAGTCAGCACAGCAAATGTTTTCCTCCCACTTCCCAGAATGATAAAAATAGGGTATTGCTAGTGGTGGTTTTGGTGTTGCAAAGGAGACAATTACTGAGTTCTTCCTCCAGGGTCCAGGCAGCACAGATCCTCATACCTTTGAGTAATAGACTTAGGTGCAGGTAACAGGTAACATGATAGATATGTATATAGAAGCCTGAGTAATAGATGAGATGGCTTTGATTAAGGTACAGTTCTGAAGGGCAAAATTATTTTGGTTTGTTTTATTTTTCTGTTTTCATTTGGGTTTTTTGGTTGATTGGTTTTTTGGCTTTTATTTTTTCTTCTGCTCTTTTTTTTGTTGTTGAGGTTTTTTTTGGGGGTTGGGTTTTTTACTGCAGGAGAAATACTATTCTGTTTACAGATAATATAAGAAAAATATTCTGTTTACAGATAATTCTTGTGTATTTGGCCAGACTCATCCCTTCTATAAATCTTTCTCTCTGAATAGGATCAGATCAGGAATTTTAGTCAGCTTCTAGTGGTATTTGTTTTGTGAACACTGGCTTTTAGGTCATGATTAACAGATATCCAAATGGGTAGCTCTTCTCTGAGTTTTTTGGTTTTTTTAATTGCTCATTTAAACTCATGTTTAAATGTGATTTAAATTTTTAAATTTTTAAAAGTTCTATTTTCTTGTTATATTAAATATTCTAGACATTGAAAACTAAAATTTCCAAAACACTTAATTTGCTGTTTTATTCATAAAGATGCCGGTACTTCATGGGTCTTGAAATAGATAACAAGTATAGAGCTAGAGTCTGGAACTAGCAAAAGGATTTGCATAATCTGAACTGATGTCTTAACTGGAGATTCCACTTCCCTGGTGAACTTAATTGTGGGAGGGGGGAAAAAGACACATATGATATGTTAATTGTATTGCTTTGTGCCTCGAGAGGTGCTGAGCCTGCTGGGAAGAGCAGCTGGCAGCGGCACTAGCTGGGACACTGCTGCGGGAGCAGCACTGCTTGGTAAGTGTCCTTATCAGAGGAAGATGAGCAGTAACTGAGTGAGCAGACAGCACGTTTTACAGGTGTTTGATTTGCTGTGACAATCAAAGACATAATTCCCAAACAAAAAAAGCTCCTTGATGGGATGGGGTTGCCGGAGTGCAGAGACAACGCCTTGCATTAGCTTGTTCATTTATCAGCAGCCCATAGGGGATAGGTGTGCAGGAGATACTACCAAGCATTCTTCCTGCAGCCTTATCTTCATCTCAGTCTCCTTTTCTCTTTCCAAATATGAACTCTTAGCCACTTAAGACCAACAACATTTTGCCATTATAATTGACATTATTATATTCAAAGTTCATTTGTCGTTGAGCTATACCTACAGATGCCTTCATGAAACCTAAACAAGACTGATTCATACAGAAATGAGGTGTTCTTGCCTAGAAAAAGCACCCAAAAAATAAAACTTTAAAAATCTTATTTCTGGTGGTGGATCTTGTGAAACTGTAAAGCAAAACATTTTGAAGTTTTACTGCTTCTGTGTCGTTTTAGTCGGTTAAGGGGCTATTTTCTTCACCCAAAATATTACAGTCTTATTAAGTTTAGATCACTGTTAAGCAGAATTCAAAAGTTTTATAGTACATTGAAGATATCTCACTTTGAAAATTACTTCAAAGGAGAAAATATATTTTAGCAATTTACTATGTGTCTAAGATAAGTTTTCAAAACCAACATAGTGTGTTCCCCTGTGTATTTTCACAGTGGTTTATTTAACATTTCATCTCCTGCATTCCACATACTCAAGTTCTAGGCTACTCTTTCAGTATATAACTTACATTTCATTGCCAGGATGGCACAGCAATTTTTTCTAATTAAAGAACTTCAAATATTTTTATTCTCCCAGCCTTTCATCCTAACTTTTTTCAAAACTGATATTATAATACAGCTTTCCTTTAGTCTGTCTCCACACTAATTTTAATTATTTTGGGAGGAAGGGATTCTTTTAAATGCTACCAGAGATGCTTCTGCTTTTACTTTTTGTCGCTAAAAACTGAAGCAGGAAAATTTGATCCAGGAAAGACCATACATGCATTTTCACAATTAAAAACCTTTTTTCTTAAAAGAAAGGATGAATGTTAGCTGTCCTTAATAGTTTCACATATGATAAAAGCCTGACTTGTTTTAAAACTAAATTAATTAGCTTTATAAAACTGTATTTCTCATTCATTGTATTAGCATGCCATTTATCCTACTACTGGCCAAACCGAGTTTAAAGGGACAGTTCACTCCAGAGAACATTTGTGCACGTGTCTGTAGTACCTAGCTCTAAACACATTTTCATTTTATTACTAAAATGCTTTCCATTTCCTTGCAGGTATAATGTTCTGTCTGTCGTGCTACTCATATAAGAAGAGATTAAAAAGAAATTTTAAAAAGCGTTTTTCCTTTACTCAGGGCAACAATCGTTGTTTTCAGCTAATATACGCTTAGCAAGATGAACCATGTAATTTTACAGATTACTCTGTTAAAATTTCCAAACATTTTGGCATTTTATAGGGAGTGACGTCACTCTACATTGAGTGTAATTCGGAGAAAAGAAACAAGGTTTCTCCCTGGGAGGTATTTAAGAGGTAATATATCTTTAAGTGTCTCCGCCTCTGAATCCACCCACTCCTTGATAGCTGCAGCAGTCTTGTTGACTCACAGAAGCCGTGTTCATGCAAGAGCCAGCAATGAGCAGTATTTTTCAGAGATTTTAAGAGCACACCTCCTGCTATGTATTTCGCGTTCTAGCTTGCTGGAGCTGAAGCTGTATGAAAGAAAGTTTTACGTTTTGAAGATATTGCAAAAGATAGTTCCTCCTCTCACCCTGGAAAATCCTGACAGACCAGTTGGATACCTTTCAGGCCTTAACCAAGAACTTTATCTTCTCATCCCACTGTCTTTTTTACAGTAGAAAGACCTAGGACACCCTTAAGAACTGAGAATCTGACTAATTTAAACAGATGGCTAATCCCAGTGCTGTGTGCAATGGACATCTACATCATCATCATCATCATCATCATCAGAAACAGAATAACCTCACAAAAAGTGGACTATCTAAGAAAAATGGAATCACTAAAGGAATGAAGGTAAGGTTTCATTGTTTACCCTAATTGCCTCAATATTGAAAACAAATAGGTAGTTGCAACATTACTTATTATGCTATTTTTATGGCCATCTTAGTGTCTATTGAACAGCTTGTATGGATTAGGCTTGTGTGTTAAGTTTTGCAATCGTGGGACCTAACGCTGCTTTTGTCTTCTAAACTGGAGAGAGAGTTGGGAATGCTCATGCAAATGGTGTTGATCCCATGGAACGACTTAGCCTCTAGTTCATATCAAACACAACACATGTAGTAACTTCCTTCTAAAGCCTAACTGGTGGTGGAGTTGACTTAGCAATGTATTAATCACTAGTGGAAAGATGTTTTGTCAGCTTCAAGTGTGTGTGGAGTAAATTTCAAGTGTGATTTGATGTCGTTCAAGTGTAACAACAAAAATACGTAGGCAGGGAAAGCTGCCTCTTCTTGATGTTTACAATTCTGCAGGGTTAGCTTAGCTGATCCACACACTTTACTCATGTGAGCAGCCTTGTACAACTTAAAATCCAAGTCAGTTTGCTTTCTGTTTTCTCAGACTGTTTTCTTTGAAGCAGCACTTCTTATATCCGTGAATATTTTGTAGAACTGTTGGCATGTACCATCCTGAGGAGTGAACAACAAATCTGAAAGTATAGTTCTACCAAAAGAGCCCAAATCTTAAAGGTTGTCTCTCTGATACCTGTTGTGACTGCGAGTTTACTGTCTGTCTTGCAATGTCCTAATTCAGGTTCTTGATGTGATCATTGAGAGAAAGTCTTGTAGTGACTACAGCTGGCTTTACAGCATGGTGTAGGGGTGACAGAAGGGATGGAGAATACTGCTTGTGGAGCCTGTGCACTCACCTGACCATCCCTGTTGGAAGCTTTAGACAAGGACTGTGGTGAGGGCTCCGCTGTTTTACAAATAAACTGCTATCTTTTATCTTTCTCTAAATGGGGCGCTCACACACCTCAGCACTCTAATGAGGGCACGCCCAGTGTCATGCTTAATGGTTGTCTGGCTTTAGGTGTCTCCCCTGGTATGAGTGTTTCCCAATCACTGGCTTGTGTTGGATGAGGAAAGCAAAATATCTTGCGCAATGATTGAAAAGGGCCTTTCTTGGATTCGCTTCCAGAAACCTAATTCAGTATCCTCTTATTTATCACATACACCTCCTCGTCATTTTGTACATTAACTATTTGCCACAATGATGTTCTGAACCTTTGCTTTACACATGTGACATTTCAAGGACTAAGCTTTGCCATTCAGTTACTGTTAACATGCTGCAAATGAGTGATTTTGAAATCCTACGATGACATTAAGTAGGATTTCCTCCTTAATAAAAAAGAGAAGTAAACAGCTAGAGAAATAATGAATAATATTATTGAGGATGAGCAAAATAAAAAAATAAATAAATATTGGCCTGAAAGGGGTAGTAAAGGAATGAAGGAAATATTAGTAGATGCACTTCCAAGACTAGTGAAGTCTTCCAAGCACCTCATGGGTAGAGAAGAAAGTGCTTTACCCTGCTGCGTGACACCTGACAAGAGCACTGAACCACTTGTAAATACCATCCATGGCTGAGGGAAGTGGTGAGGAAGTGAAGACTTAGAAAGTTCAGGATGCTTATCAAAGGCAGATTTGGTAAGTGCGGGTCGAGCACTGTGCTCCGAATTACATTCCATTTCCCCTTTCTTCCTGCTGCAAACACAGATTGGGAAAGAAGGAAACAATAACAGACAAGAGTCCTGAATGAACCAGGAATCTCATTCCTGGTAGGAATCTCCCCATTCCTGTCTGGTCTGTTTCCCCGCCCCAGCTGCCTCACCCTGTTCAGTGCTTGTGCTTGATGCTATTTTACAGGAACAGATACTGTTCCTTCCTCCCTGCGCTGTTTATGAGCCTCACTGCTGGAGGTGTGCGACTCCACACAGTCCTCCGTGCACTTGTGCCACTTCTCACTGGGGTGTGCTTCCCACTTAACAGGCTGGGATCTGAGAAGCAGGGAATATGGCAGCTTGGTGCATGAGGAAGCCTGTACAAGGCTTCCAGGTTTCCCTTAATTCCAGTCATTCTTCCTTCTTCCTCTTTTGCTCTTTAGCCACCTTGTCCCTATTTCCCCTAACACTCTGACACACACGTTTACGTGTTTTACTGCCCATGCAGTAAATTAATTGACCATTAAACACCTTATATAACAGAAATATAGTGCTAGTGTATTCAGGGGAGGTGTCTGGTGATGCTGGTTCTAGACTTGCGATAATTCCAAAACTTTTGGGCTTAGTTACAACTGTGCTACTTTGGAAGGAGGTGAGGAGGCAGAGATGCTGTGGTTTGAGAGAGGAAATTAGTGCAGAGGTTGCAGTGAAAGAATGGCACAGTGAAGGCTTCTAAGCCTATAGCAATAGTTTTGCACAATTGACTGCCTGGAACATCAGGCTTTGCAGAAATCAGCTCTATAAACCCTCTTTTTCCAAGGGAGCCCCCAGAAGCACTGGCTTCAGGAAATGCTGGCTTTGCAAACACTGCTTTTGCAAACACTTGCTCAAGAACAATGTGTTTTGCATCTCAGTGATGTAAGAACATTTTGTGTGTCAGTTCGTGCTTGAGAGAAATAGAGAAGTAATTCTGATACCACAAAACCCCCAGGTTTCTAAAGGATTTTGTTTAATGGTTGGGAAGGGTAATTAGGGACGATCAAATGTGGGGGAGCAGGGAGGCTCTCTTTGCTTCTAGCAATCTGTGGCATACCAAGGACAGAAAGGAGGTAGCTGAGTGATAGAGAAGCAGGGTAGCATCCTACCAGAAGAGAAGGTGTTGCTTTTGGGGAAGTGCTAGAGTGCTTTGTGGTGGGACTGCTTGTTTGGATGGCTTCTGTGATTATTTAATTCTAGCTGATAGCACAGACTGTCCATGTACTAACAGACATCAGGCTTAACCATGTCCCCACAGCCATGCTGGTATTCTTTGGAAGCTGGGCCATAGTAAGACCTAAACTTTGGAAAGTGGGTTGTGGACCATGTCTTCCACTTTATTAGTGCTTTTAACAGAAGCAGATGCTTTGTGCTCTTCTAGAATCCATAGTCTGGACTTGCCTTTGCCCAAAGCACAATTCAGTAGCTAAACTATTTATTTATGTAACTGAATTGAACACGAGAAGGTATTTTCCTAGTGATGGTTTCTTTGCTGTTATACTGCTGTTGATTGGATACCAATAATAGGGGAAGTTGAATTTATAAAACAATAAATATGTTTGTCTATTGGAAACCTTTTTCCCTATAAAACATATGCAACAGTTTCATTTCTTCGATAGATTATTTCCTTGGATGCCTTAGCTTCCAATACATTATCAAGCTCTTTGCAGATTCATTATTTTTATGTTCTGCACTGAGAATGGCAGGGCTTGGAAGAAATGTGTAGCTAACAAGACTATAGGGTTTTCCAGGGATTTCAGATTCCTGTGTGAAAGCAAAAAAAGAGCCTGGGACAGTAACATCTGTCCCACTTGTCTGATGGCCCAAAAATGTGATAATCTCCAACATCTGAGGGCTCCAAAATTCAGAATCTGTTTATGTTTAACCTCTGTCCTGTGACATCTGAACCTCCTCCCAGCTCTTCTACTTAGCTATTTGGTTCAATATTCCAGCATCCAGTTTCAGTTCCTTCCATGCTCTTGGCATCCTAGGTTTTTCCTCTCTTTTCTGCTCTTCAGTGTCATTTATTGCCTAATGAGAATCTTGAAGAGTACATTGATTGTTTAGAAAGAGAGTCATGAAAGGAATATGCCGTGCAACTGTTCTCATGGCAGTAACTTTCTTGCATGTTGTAAAGGTCTCCTGTAATTTCTTGGCTCTCTCTTCACAAATACAGACAGCACTTCAAGTGTTTCTGCAAACCTGGTGTAAGTGGGGCATTTTAGATGCATACTCAATATAAATGTTAAAGAGTCTGGTAGGAAAAATAATAAACTAATTCCTACAATCAGAGTCAAGCAATAAGGGTTATTGTTAACAAGGGAAGAGCAAGGAGAGGGGATTAAGGCTGGTCAGCCCTTTCCAACTGTTTGCAGCATCAGTTGTGCAGTCTGTAATGATCTACCAACATAATAGGCTTTTTTTCTGAAATATCTTCATATTTAGATATTCATTTGAAATAATAATAATTCTCAAATTGAAAGGGAACTTCATTGAGTCCAGCCTGTTTCACTTGCAGCAGCTCAGATTTTGGACATTTTCAATTGTTCATGTGTTCATGGAAAGTGCAATTGCAATTTGCCCTCTGGATTTCATAACTATAGTGACAACAGGAAAAAATTGAGATTTGGTTTTCAGTCAAATTCTCTGCCAATTACTGTACCTGTTGTTTCAGCTGCACCACAGATACGACCTCTTCATCCTCAGTTCCTGCCTTCTTTTCTCCTTGGTTTCAAGCCTGAGAAATGTGTTGCTTTGCACCTGCCCTCTCAGATAATAATCACAGGTCTCAGATCCACGCCCTTGTTTCTGTCATCTGCCCTGCTCTGTGATGAGCTCAATGCATTGGAAGCAGGAAACACTGAGGACATCTTTCTGCAGCAGAGGTGTCACCACTGTGTGGGCACATGTAACAGTCCCTGACTCTTGTAGCAATGCTTTGAGCGTGTTGCATGAGACTTTACATGTAAGGCTGAGGTTTTTCACATAGCTCAATATCTAAGATTGGTCTAAAATTGTTACCTTCTTAACACCTGGAAATCTCTAAATTCAGGTAATTAAATTTTGGAAGGTAAAGCCCTGGCAGAAATAGCAGATAGTAATTTACCTCAGCTTAAAAGGTTCAGCATGTCAGGTCTTCAAGGTCAGCCTTCTCTTAGCACAGTAACAGCCCATCCTACTCGTGAAAGCAAGTAAATGTATTGGGAAACTGGCTTAGCTACACACACATAACCCATGGCTGAGCTCCAGTGCAAAAATAAGTAATATACAAGAGATAGAAGCAGGAATGGCCTTTGAAAGAAGAATTTTGAAACAT